TATTATTATTATACGGAGTATTATTTTTTATTATTATATCATTACTATTAGTTATTATTATTTGTACTACTATATAATTATAATCAGTATTATTAGCATTAGAATTAGTATTACAATTATAGGAGTTAATGCGGAGTAGTAACCAATATAATGTAATATGTGAGTGCGATCTATCAATCGTCGTGATTGGCGGTAATACCCTAGTGGCTGGCGACAACACTTGATGATGTGGTAGTTGTAGTGTGACAATGTGATAAATATGACAGTGTAACAATAAGAGTTTAAATTTCTATTTTAGTCTTAAATGACTTAATACTCTCATTTTGGTATTTTCATTTTTTTAAATTTTTATTTAGGGAGTTCTCCCTATTTGTTAGTCTCTCTTCCTATAATTGAATATGCATAATGTTATCTCCTTCTATTGTTTTATCATAAATTATAAAAAAAAAAAGTCGCAGATTATTATCACCGTTTAAACTTCAATTTTGCCATTGAAAAAGATAAATCTTCTGTTTCTTACTTTCTCTATGTTTTATTCTTATTTTGGTCGATTTCTAAATTGTATCACTGATTAATTTATTTATAACATGAACAATTAAAATAGATAAATAACTGAATAAATATAAAAAAAGTGAATACTCCGAATAAAAAATTGAATATTTTGTTTTAGAAATGGAGAGTGTGATACGAATTTAGTGAGTATGGAGACTCGGTCTTCTCGTAGAAGACTCCAACCAAATCCTTTTGTGTTGATTCTCTTCTTTTTCTCTCTTTTGCTTTTTTTTTCTTTTCAAAAGTTTATATATTCCGTTTAATCTTTTCCGCAATTATTCTCAGTGTGACACGTGCAGTGCTGATATTCCCATTAGCGTCGTCGTTTTGAATATCCCTTTCGTCGTTTCGGTCCGTTGTAATATATTGGAGGCATCATTTATACGCTTTTATTGGATTGACATTATGGATTAGGCCCAAACTCAAATGCCCAATCAAGTTTAAACGAATTTAGATCAAAACAAAGTTGGGCTGCGCTTAAGTCCGGCCTGCAACAACAGTTTACTCCGTAAAAATGTCCAAGAAAGACGTTTTTTGTGTGTGAGGGAGTGTGAGAAAGGCAAATTGAAAGGAGAGTTATTCCCTCTCATAAATTCATCTTACAATGTCAAAATGATTCAAAAGATAAATAAAATCGTCATTAAAGTTCATACAAAGGAGAAAAAAATTATATGAATTGTACAACTTAAAAAAGGAATGACAAGATTTTCGTAGCGTCTAAAAAAGAAAACAGGTCTGTTCTTTTCAATCAAATCAGATCAGATCAGATAGATCTAATTATATTTGATCAATTTAAATATGATAAGATCGAAACAAATCAAGTGAGGTATCAGATAAGATCAAAACAGATTAGATAATATTTTTGAAAAAATCAAATGAGCTCAAATTAGATCAGGCGAACAAAACAAAGTCATAATCATTTTGAGACAATAAAATTTGAAATTCGCAGACGAGAGTTTCTATGATGGACATAAGATTCTATAATAATTTTCTCACATAAAAATTAATTAATACTTCCTTTTTCTCAGAAACAATTTCATATTTTTTTTGTCACAAAAAGATTTCAATTTTCCATCACACTGATGGACATAAGGTTCTTTAAATATGCATTATAATACATGGGGAAAACCCAAAAAACTTAATTAAGAAGTGTAAGTTTTTTCTTTGGCATGTTTGCATTTGTATTTTATTTGCTTTACAAACTTTTAAAGTACGTCAAAAAAATTAAGCATGATTTATTTTTACTCCAAAATAAATATATATATTTTTTACCTAAAAAATTATTGTTATTTTTAAAAATTAACTAATATTTAAAATTTATAATTTAGTATGCACAATTTTTTTATTTTTCAATTATTTAAACAAATTATACATACATTTTAAAATGCCAAGAGCATATAAGAGCACATTTTCTAGTATTTACATTTTTTTAAAATACGGAGTATGAGTATTGTCTTATTATTTAAGTATTTGTAGAGATTCATTAATAAATTTTAACAATAACAAAATGAATACTATGATAGAAAACCAAGTGTGAAATTGTATATGCACAATTATATCAAAAACTAAATGCAGAATAAAAAATATAAATTAAAATACTTTTATAACTAAAATACTTAATAATACAATATAAAATATTAATTTTTATTTAATATTGACCGGGTTGTTGACGTCCGAGTTTACCGGTTCGACCGGTTAGCCCTTGACCCACTATACTCATTTAGATCGATGTTCGGTCTGGTTCTCATAACAATACGAAATTGTACGAATATTTTATGTTTAATAGGAATTAAAGTGCCCAAATTTGGACAAAATTATTGAGACAGGGAGAGGGAGGAGAAAAAATAATTAAAGACTAATGTTTTAAAATAATGGTATGAATTATTTTACAAAAATTATTTTTTTATTCAATTTAACTTTTTGTGAAATATATGTTTTTTAAACTAAAAAAATACTCTTTAAATCTAATCTAGTTTTTGAAAAAAATTATTTTGATTTAATATATTAGATATTGTTTACACAAAATAATCCGAAAATTATTTTTATTTGAACACAACAATATCTAATATAATAATTTTCTTTGTTTGTCCTTAAAAGTTCAATAAAAACAATTTTCTTTGTTTGTCCTTAAAAGTTCCAAATGTTCAAAATGCGGGTCCAAATGAGGTGGAGCAATTATTTGTTATTGATGGGCATGTAGAAAGTAATGAACATGTTGACATGAATCATGATTTACGCACTAATCATGATGATAATATATTTTTCCTAATGATGTAGAGTGTGATAATCTAGAATCACTACATGTTGAAAATAATTTGCATGATTTTTAATTTGATATATGAATAAAAAGAGAAGAACCATAAAGAAACCTTTGAGATATGTGAATGATTGTAAAATGATCGAATTTTTGTTTATCAAAGTTTACAACGGGAAAAGAAAATAACAGGTTCAAACTTATAAACTTTTTAGATTTACAATTGAGAAAATAAAAAAAGCCTACTGAAATATAGAAGATGAACGAATTCTACAAAAGGTTGGTGCCGCCTGATTTTGGAAAATTTAAGGAAAGTGGAGTCGTTGGAGCTTTCTTTTAGGTAGTGTCATCACTGGCTAACACGGATGATCTTCTCCCAAGATAAAATCGCTAACGGGCAAAATCTAGAGCAGTAGAGTAGTGCACCGACAAACTAAAATGATGGAAAGCTACTCGCCGGAGAAGATGGTTGGAAATTGAGAGAGTTGGAACTTTAGGGACACATAGAAGGTTTTTGGTTCGAGTATGTTCTCCTCTGCTCCGAAAGACTCCTTATATAGGAGCGGAAAGACTTTGGCTGGATAGTGGCCGGAAGAAACAAAGAGTCACATGAGACTTTCACAATGTATGCATGCTTCCTTTTAACAAAGTATCCACATGTGTTCGATTCACTCTTGTAAAATGATAGGAGTTGGCCCACACCCTTGGCACGTGACGACGCGTCACGCGCACGCACACACATGTGCTTGTCAAGCGAGACGGCAGCGATGGCGGTACCCGAGGGGTCCTTTTTTTCCTCCTCAAATTTCTTTACCATGCAATTAAATGCTAGCATATCAATAGTGGAAGATGAAAGGTTTCAAATTAAATCTGATGCGGGATATGTGGGTTTTACTCTCTCCAAGTGTCTAACTTTATGAATTAATTTCTTATTCATCTGAGTACTATTTTTGGCGCAAAATATATTGAAACACACGTCTCACATGGAAGATTAATTGTCCATAATTATTTTGAATAAATAATTTTATGGACCCCATCAAATTTATGTCTGAAGTTGTCCCGTTATAAGTCAAAAATTCCAATAGTTTGTATTTCATGTGTTTGAATCCCTTGAATGTCGAGAACCAAAGACTTGTCGTGAAGCCTTTAAGTCCTATGTTTTTAAAAATAAGTTAGTGCTATGAAATGTGAGATGGAATCCCTCTGTGTTGATCATACATGACAACTTGTTCCAAAACCTTATTATTGTTCTCTTGTGGACTACAAGTGGTTAATCTACTACCGAGGTTGAGTATGTTACAACTACAACTCTACAAGTGCTTTAATCTTAAAGAAGCTATTTTGGCTTAAAGATTTTTTGTTTAAAATTTGCTTGGTTGATAAAAATGTGGTTGTATTTTCTAATATCAAGTCTGCCATTTAAATATGCAACAATCATGTCTTTGAACCAAACACATTGATGTTTGTCTCGGTTCTATTTTATTAAAGACAGTTAAAAAGGGCATTATCATGCTAGAGAAAACTCCTATAGAATCCAAATTGACTAACATGGATAGCACTAAGTGCTTTCTTCTATAAAAATTTTCTAATGTCCGTGATTGATTTGTGAATTTTGGTGGTTCATTTTTCTTTCTTTTGTCTTTGTGAATGTTGTTTTTAAACTCGGTGACTCGTTGGTAGAGTTCAACAATGCATGGGTTTTTGTGTATTCTCAATCATTACTTGTGTTCTTGAAGCGTTGGTTATAGATATAGTAATAAAAATGGCAATGACGAGTCTTACAATTCTCAATGAAGTTAAAGATTAAACTTGCCTTAATTAGCTCCCAAATATCACCTATAAGTACTCTTTATGTGTTCTTGTGTTTAGCTGTGCAAAACTAAAAGAGAAAAGAGTCATTGTGAGTCCTCTGTAATTTACATTATCTCTTCTCCTCTGAAGTGATTGTTTCACCATTTCTACGTGACCCTTAAAGATAAAACTCATCTTTTATTTTTTCAAAATCCCTCTAGGTACTAGAGTACTAGACTAAAGTGTTCTCACTTTGGCCTTCCACACAATCATAAAATATAATAAATCAAATTGAAAATATTGATATGAACTAGAGTAAAATTGAGTAAAAAATGAACCAACTACTTATGAATGGAGTAGGACATAAGACGCATTGATTTTGTAACGCGTGCCGTTAAAAAACCTTTGGTAGTAACAAATTGGAGACTAAAGCAATTTTGCTTTCAAAAAATAAAAATAAATAAATAAACGTAGCTATTTCCAACTACAATGAGAATGAGGCAAATTGGCAAAAAAGCAAACATCCAACTTTAAAAACCCCCCAAAAAAAAAATTCTGAACTACTCACGTTCTAACTTTCCGTCTGCTCCCCTCATTTGAAGCAAAAATCTATCTATGCATCCAAAATCCAAAGTCCAAACCTAATTATAACAGCATGATCGATCCATCCACTGTACGGCAGAGCCGTCGATTTTGACCGGCTTCTCCGATCTTCCCTAATAGCTCCATCGGCTCCGCCGATTCACTGCCGCCGATCAAATTCCTCGATCTCCTCCAATTTCGCGATCAATCGGCGACGGAGTGATTTTGCCAGCACAAAAGCATCATGATGCAGCGCCTGAGTATATAGAACCGAGTCTTCTCTTGCTTGGCCACGACCAAGCACCGCTTCCGGAGGCCAGATTTCCGGCTGGATCGCCGGCGAGAAGGGAAAAAGTATGAGAACAGAGTCATGATGATGATGATGAACGGATTCGGATAATCGGGTCGGAGCTTGGGAATTTGACGGAGAGAATTGAATGATGAGGGGTTGCGGTTTGGGCGTTATTTATATATAGGGAGGGGTAGGCTTAGAGATTTTTTTACGTATTTGGGTGGGGAACCAGCGTTCCTGGTGTTGGACGTTAATACGTCATCAATTCCCGATCTGGAAAATGACTGAACTGCCCTCCATGTGTTTATCTGCCTGTATTTTTCTTGTATCGAGGAAGCGTAGGAGTAACTACCTCCGCGCAATTTGTTGGCGGAAAATTATACTCCTTCCCATAGTTTTCAGAACCGGACCGGTGACCGAACCGGTCAAAGTACTGGTTCACTGGTTTACTGGTCGAACCAGTGGTTCAGCTAGTCGAACCGGTGGTTTAAACATATTTAAAAATTATATATATATATATATATATATATATATATATATATATATATATATATATATATATCTGTGTGTGTGTAAATATGTATATGTATATATATTTACACACACATACATATAGACACACACACATTCTCATTTATAAATATCTAAAGAAAGTAATTTATAACATTTAAATAATATTATATTAATATACTTGTGTTATTTTATTAAATTAAAAAATAAAATTTACATATTAAAAAAATATAAAAGAATTTTAAATGTTGATTTTATTTTTTTTCAAATAAGTTGTTTAATATTAAAAAAAACAAAATCTTTGCATGATTTGCATTTTGTAATAGTATCAATAATACTCCGTATCAATGATTTTGTGTTTGACTCATAGCTATATAATATTATATTTATAAAATTGAAAAGGAATTTAAATACAATCTTTTTTGTAATTATGAAATATTATAAAAGATTATGTGAACTTGTAACAAAAAACACCATTGGTTGGATGGTTAGAAACTCAACCAAACATATAAAAGGTCTTGGGTTTAAACCCCTATGGATACATGTTTTGGAAAAAATCAGCAAAAAAAAAAAAAAATGGGCGGACCGGTCCGACCGGCCGGTTCTTACCGGTTTAAACCGGTTCGGGCCGGTTCGATGCAGATTACGGTCCAATGGGCCGGACCGGACCGGTTGGACCACCGGTTCGCCGGTTCACGGTCCGAACCGGCCGGTCCGGTCCGGTTTTTAAAACTATGCTCCTTCCTCATTAATTTTGTTTTCCCAAATTATGAATGTGTTAGGGATGTAAATGAATCGAATATTTTTTGTTCGATTCGTGATTTGTATTCGTTTAAGGTGATTTGTATTCGATTTTTTCGAATCCGAATACGAATCTGAATAAATATTCGAATCCTTATCGAATACGAATATGAATCAACGGTATTCGATTCGTGAGTTTGACAAATATATTCAGAATATAAATCTAATTATACAAATTATACAAATTATATATATATAAATGGTTATATAATATTTTAAAGTCTAAATGAACTGAATAATTTTAAACGAACCGAATATATTTAAACGAATCGAATATTTAAACGAACCGAATATGTTTAATATATTAAACGAACCGAATACGAATCTTAAAAATTTTCGAACCGAATTCGAATTCGAATATCACTCCATCTTAACGAATATGAATATTTTTCATGAATATTCGATTCGGTTCGTTTACAACCCTATGTGTGAGCAAATCAAACGGATAAAAAGAAAAAAAGTAAGATAAAAAATTGAATCGAAAAACTTCCAAGATTTCTTTAATCAAATCCAATCCAAACCAAAATTGAACTGAAAATTTGAGATATCTGTAATATCAAAAATCTCAATCTCTCAATCTGATCTGAATATATCTACTATAGTATAATCTAATATAGAGTGTGTGTGTGTGTATATATATATATATTAAATTTCACAAACATTTCTTGCATTTTAATATCCATTTCTTATGTTTAATACTCCCTCCATTTTAAAGATCATGTCTTAGTTACTCCGTACTATTTTTTGCTCTCGATAAGTTTGGTTTGTCCGTATGTTTTTATTAACCATTTGATAGAATAAAATATTCTTATCACGTCTTGTTTTGTAAAATTTTTATTGTAGTTTTGAACAATGTGGGTTGTACTTTTTACTTCTATACCGATATGTGAATAAATTTGTTTTAAAAACTATGAGATTTAACATGTTGTTCAAAATGAATCAAGATCTTTGGAACGGAGGGAGTATTTCTTTATTTAAATGGACTTTGAATTTTTTTAAAAACAAAGAGTATAGGTACATTTTAAAATGTAAAGTAGATGCGTACGTATTCATTTCGATTTATACCGAAATCAATATTCGACTATAATGAACTGAAATATCGAGATTGGAATCAACAAGACGTGAAATCTCATACCTACATACTCCATCCGTCCCATAAAGATGGGTACGTTTTGACTAAAGTAGAAATTAAGGGAGGGATAATTTTGTGTTGACTTTCCAAAAATACCCTTGGTGTGATGGGTAAAAGTATGATCTGATGCGTAGATTATTAGGAAAAAGATATGATGTGATAGGTAGGGTTTGAAAAAGTAAGGGGTAAAAGTGGTTTTTTAATAGAAATGAGTAAGGGATTGTGGGACGCAATTTTTTGAAACGTGTAAATCTTTTTGAGACGGAGGGAGTATTCGGTACACGCGCACTCTATCGGTATGTATGAGTTAAATCTCATACCATACCGTAGTACGTATGCTCACTCTTAGAGCTGGCAAATCGGTCGGTCAGGTCGGGTTCAGGTTCGGTCACTTCAAGTTCGGGTTATTTCGGGTTCGGGTCAATTCGGGTTCGGGTTGAGAACTGTATGTTCATGACCCAGTGTCATCGGGTTCGGGTCGACCCAACGCGTTATGACTTTGGTTTTTTAAATTTTTAAAATCACATTAACGCTTACATTTTCTATTAAATAAATTTAAAATATCTCAAAAAAAAGTATTAAATGTATAAAATTATTTTATTTTAAACTCTAAAGTAGTTTTTAGATATATAAATCAATATAAGGAATTTAAAAATGCTTAAGTTTTGGAAAAAAGTAAGATAATTATGCAATATCATTAAAGTTTTGTCTGAAAATATAAATTTATACACTAAAAACGAGTAAAAAAGTGTATAATTTTGAAAAATTCTTACTCTAGCGGGTCGGTCAGGTCGGGTTCGGGTTCGGTCGGGTTTGACCCATTTTTAGCGGGTCATTTCGGGTTCGGTCAACTTCGGGTTCGGTCATCAAAACCTTTGTTCAAAACCCAGTGTTTTCAGGTCGGGTTTCGGGTCAAAAACAGGTCGGGTCACTTTTTGCCAGGTCTA